ACGTGTATTTTGTACCAGCAGGATTATTATGATATCCAGCCATTAGGTAGCCCTGGTACTCTAGGTTCCATCCTTTGTAGCAGGTTTTTCTTGCTTTAATAAAATAATACAATCACATGAATTATCATTTACACTAGGTAAAATTTGCGCTAACTTGGTAAATTAAATATTTACCACGGCTGAAGGAAGAATTGAAATAAGCAAATTCAATGAATAGTGGTACCTCGCTTTCAGTGTCTTTGTGGATGGGATGTGATTAATTATGGCATATTGTGTCAAATATGAAAGCTCTTTCATATGTTATTCAAATGTAATTACGCTATCCATCATTTTTTTTTTATTAAAGTCAAACATATGTCAACATGTTTGCAAGACATTTTGATACCTAACCTAATGCATTATTTAAATGTTGTTCACGAGTTGCCCCTTTTTTGTAATTTCATTAATAAATGAGGACGCGATACAAATGCTCATATTTTAATGACTTTGTCAGAACATTCTGTTTTACAATTTAAGTAAAAACCAAAACAAAGAAAAATCACTCTTCGAAAGTGAATAAAAGACGAAAAGTGTTACAAGGACCCAGTAAAAAATGTAAACTCGGTTTTTAATTAGCCATTTGTGAAATTTATTCATGGTAGCTGACAGAAGAAAAACTATGTACTATTCGCTAATAAAGTTGGGAGTCAAATGCTTGTTCTGAAAAAGGGACAATGCTCTAATTTGACAAATTTCTGTTATACCCAATTCTAATGAAAATATAATAGTCGAAAATCGATGATATCGAAAAATATTTGAATGGACAAACATTTACCAACATCTTAAATTAAAAAAAGGAGTTAAGGAGTGAATTTGCGTGCAGAAGACGAGTGCATGCGTGGCAGTATGAGTACAAATGTTGAAAAAGTAAAAGATGCATTGATTCTACCGTTTTATTAAGTTTTTATGCTCACTTCCTCTGTACAGACTTTGTGGTTTAGAGAAATATTCTGCAGAAATTATTTTGAACAGGATGTGTTTGTGAAACACATATGCGCCCGGTGGCAACAAAGTTCATAAACTATTTTTAGCATATAGGTCACAATTAATGTCACAAGGTTTTTGGCTTTGTTGTCATTTGAAAGAGCTTAGTTCATGTTGCAAGCATACCTAATATGAGCTCTCGATCTCTCATGGTTCAAAAGTCATGGCCAAATTTCGAAAAAAAAGCTATTTTCAGCTAATAGGTCACAGTCAGGGTCATTAGGTCAATGACCTTGTTATTTGAAAGAGCTTAATTAGTAGAGTAAGCATACCAATTATGAAATCCCTATCTTTCATGGTTCATAGTTATGGCAAAAGTTCGAAAAAGCTATTTTTATCATATAGGTCACAGTCAAGGTCAAAAGGTCCTTGACCTTGATGTCATTTGAAAGAACTTTTCTAGTGGAGTATGCATACTTAATATGAAGTCTCTATCTCTCTTGGCTCAAAAGTTATGGCAAAGGTTAAAGTTGACAACAAACAGACAAACAGACGGGACAAAAACAATATACGCCTCGGATCAATCGATCTGGGCGCATAAGAATTAATCACACATGTACATAAAAAGACCTTATTATAATTCTCTTTTCACGATAAGATAGAATAATGTTAAGAACACATCAAACAAAGAAAAAAAACCGAAATCTGCCTGAAAGGGTGGTAAACAATTCCAAATGCATAATTTGAATAGATTAAGACTCTAGCATAATCATATTAGAAAACATAAAAACCTATTGTTTTAATGATATTAAAAAGAAATAGAAAATAAATCCTTTTGTAAAAAAACAACTTAGAAATAGATTATATGCCTCCCATATCTCAGTCTTCAGTTTCTGTCATATCTATTTCTAGAGTTAATTTAAAAAGTAAAGAGTTAATATTTTTGCTTTTGGTAAAGGTACATATCAGTAAAAGTGTTTAAAATGAATTGATCAAGACTTTAAAAAAAAGCAAAATATAAAACAGGTGTTCATTGGTATAAAGTTTGATAAAATTCTAACAATTTGTATTAGTCAAGCAAGATCATTCTATGCAAATCTGAGAACCAACTTCCAAAACCCTTATATTCAGATACACACTTTGTTATTTTTTCTCACCTGGAAATACTTTCACAACGGATCTATTTGGAACCAGGCAAACAGCACAGGGCACGTCATGATCATGAAGTGAAGTAACGTGACCCGTGAAAGTGTTTGTTTCATACTCTGCTCCGTATACGTAAGCCTTACTTCCTTCATTTCCATCCCTATAGATCCCCCACTCTGGATCCCTTGGCAAACAAAGGGGTTCTACAGCTGCTCCATTATGACTATAATGAGACCCTCCTGTATAGCCTATAAAATGTTTAAATTCTTTTAATGCAGTACAATCAATTTATGGATAATAATTTTACAGCTTTTTTAGAAATGACAATATCATTTACATGGTGTAATTGATATTTGATATTCTAATTTCTCAAGATTGAACTTTTTTATTTTTCCATGCAAAATACACTGTGAATCATGAATATGATTACCATTTGTCAAAACTAAATACAAATACGATAGTTCAAACTTTCATTTTATAGAAGTATTTGTATTCACCAGAATAAACTAATTTTGTGTTGGATGGACACGTCTTCTTTCCCCATCGTGTATATACAATTTTTCTGTTGCTGATACCTTCCAAAAATACATACTTAAGTAAAAAGATAAAATAAAAATATTTAAACAAGACAATTTCTAATATCATCGAGTAAAAGAAATAAACATAGCAACCTGTATATAAGACATCATACCTTCCCCCTGCATGGTAGCATTCACTGCCTCCTTGAACTTTTTAATCGATTCCTCAATGACGCCAGTGAAGCTTTTGAATTCCCGCCTTAAAGCTTCTACCTGATATACTCCTAGAGCAGACGACAGTTGTCCGGTTAGATAACCCTGTAACATGTCTTTACAACTTCCGTTCTGGGTATCTCCGTTTGCAGCGCGAATAAGAAACACAAGGAATACATAAAACGCCATCATCTGAAGGAAAATCAATGACATACTATTATGTAAATGTTTATTTATGGAATCACCGTCTAGTTAGTATATTATGCAAGGGCATCAACAATAGTGGGAAACATGGGATAATTGGTATAACGGGCTAAGCCTTAAAGCTTCTACCTGATATACTCCTAGAGCAGACGACAGTTGTCCGGTTAGATAACCCTGTAACATGTCTTTACAACTTCCGTTCTGGGTATCTCCGTTTGCAGCGCGAATAAGAAACACAAGGAATACATAAAACGCCATCATCTGAAGGAAAATCAATGACATACTATTATGTAAATGTTTATTTATGGAATCACCGTCTAGTTAGTATATTATGCAAGGGCATCAACAATAGTGGGAAACATGGGATAATTGGTATAACGGGCTAAGCACAAATTATCCCATGTTTCCCACTATCGTTGATGTCTCTGGCATACTATGCTAACTAGACAGTGATTCCTTATATTTCCATTTCATTGTGAGATAAAATTGTAGATTTAGACTTTGAAAATGTAGACATAGATTTAAATTACACGAGGACTCCCATGCCAATTTCAATAGTCTTCGCCTTCTGACGTCAAACACAAAGACAGCCGCACGAGATTTACATGCATTTTTATCCTAGAGACAGATGCACACGAGATTTGCATGCACATATGGCTTCCTTGGCTCCCGACCTTGAACCAGCCTAATTTACATTCCGGCAGAATTATCAAGAAATCAACTCCGCTAACTTTCAAAGAGTTATCACAGAGAAAAAAATAGAAATGGAAATATCTGTGTGTATATTTTAAGGTCTCTCACAAGAATTTTCACTTATAGTGAGACGCCACCACTTGTCAATGGTTAGCTGCAAGTTTTGTCCTATACTCGGCACTTACGGCCATTGATCAATGATGAATCTTTTTCGTCTCAGCACTTACTGGGACATGTGACCTTCATTTACGCGTTCTCATCCAAAGGACGGGCCTCCACGTTCCGCAGTGGGGTTTGAGACCGCGATGTTAGGATCATCTTTTTACTTCGCGACTCTACAGCAGACGCACTAACCCTTAAGTTACATTATTAAAAATACGTCCCTAAAATAGGCCCAGCAATAATACACGATCTTAAGTTACTAAGAGTTGATTATGATTAAGATTTACTGATTGTACAATGTATGCAGTCTAACGTCCCTCTCGAGATCTTTTACTCATATGGAGAAGCCACCACTTGCTGATGGAGAGCTGCAAATTTTGTCCCATTCTCTGGCACTCAGGGCCATTGAGCAGGAAGGGATCTCGTTCGTGCCAGCACCTACTGCGAACGGGACCTCGGTTTACACGGTTTTATCCAAAGTACTGGTCTCCATGTCACATAGTGGGATTAGAACCCACGACGTAATGATCAACTAGTTACTTTGCGATTCTAGAGCAGACGCTCTAGCCACTGCGCCACAAAGTATATGTTGGAAGAAAAGGCTACAACGTTTTAATGAATTCAGCTAAATATCAATGTTTGATTCCAGAAAGCATGCATGTAGGATACATGTGCTATAGTAGTCATTCCTAAAAACTGATCCATTTTGCGGGAACAATATAAAGTCTTTAAATTTGTTTTTGAAGTCTATAATTTAAGGCTATAAAATGAATTTGGAAGGATAAAAAGTCTAATATATGATTTAGAATTTTTATGATTTATAATGTTCACAATCTTACCTGTCTATTGTTTTTTCAGTGTTAACAAAGCAAGTTTTCCTATCCATGTACATATTATAAATTTATACACTTTTGTGTATACTTATGTTATAAACAAACGTATGGATTGATTTTGAAAATGCTGGTAAACATCTGGGATCCTCCCACACATTTTGATCTTAATAGTTAGACACGATGAGAATAGATTAAAATGTAATTGTACACTGATGAGAGCTTCTACAAAAGTTTGATTTAAAAGAATGTTTGAATAAACGCCGGTTGAATGACGAAAAAGAGTTGGATTCAGTGTTTCTTTGACAGAACCCTTTAAAAGTCATATACTGTATGTAATTTTTAGGGTCCTTCACACCATGTGACGTGTGACGTATATAGAGTAAAAATACTTTTACTTCCGGTTTTTATTTAGTTTGTGTACTGACGATTTGCCTGGCACGGCCTGTAAGATCTTTCAAACGCGTTACAAATAAAGGTTTTGTGAAGGGAAAAGTATGCATACATTGAGAGTGACACCCTATTAATAAACAATGAACATATGGCATGGTCATGGAGTGATCGATAGAAAAAGATATCCGTTTTCTTTCTATAAAAGAACAACAAACGTTTGGGTTTATGGATCATATTAAACGGGTGTAGGTTCAACGAGAACTTTAAGGTTATTTATACTTTAAGGCTAATCAAACCATTGTCATATGATCGTCTACAGAGTCTGTATTGAAAATTGATATTTTACACACTAATTTGTGCGTTTCAATAATACGCTATATCATTCTGTGTTTAAAAATATTAAAGTATGTCACTCGTGAAATTTGTTAATTTAAGGAATTTTTTAAAAGTAAAGTTTGGATTAGTACTCATGTAATGTGACTCAAAATCGCAGATAAAATAGTGGGTGAGTGTGCATCTTACTGAGCTACGGTACAATTAAATTGAAGTTTTTGCACTTTTTAAATTTTAACTTTTTGGCTAATTCCTTTATCCTATAATATATGCTATCAGATGTAACAATGGCAACAAATATAAATTTATTTAACGTAAAATAGTTTGAATATTATTTATCATTGCACAAGTCTTCCAAACTAATGCTCAAAGATTATTGTGTGACCTTTTTGCACTGAAAAAGTAACATATTTAGGGATTAAAAATCATATTTAGGCATAAAAATATTTTGAATTAAACTTTTTACGACCTAAGTGCTGATCAGTCACAAGTATCGAGAATATTCAAATAGCAAAAGTAAATATTGGGGTCAGCGATGTTAAGTTTGAAATATTGGTCAAAACATGTAATTTTCAGGCAAACATTGGTGTAAATTTCATTTTGAATTCTTTAACAAAGTTTCAGTTCTCGGCAAAGTTTGTAGAGGGAAGGTGTAAAATTTGTTCTTAAATATAAATTGAGACCTTTATTAAATATTCGTAGTATATCGTAACTGAAAATATTCCTCGAGTAAAAGTATGTGAGGGTCAAGTTCCAAGATATTAAATTCAACAAATGTGCGGATTTGCAGAATTTTCTGTTAAATATCCTTCCACCACAAGAAATAGTTCCTCATAAATCTTGCTTCTTTGTTGATTTTTGAGCAGTTTTTTTTCTTTGAATGTTGAAGAATTTACATCGTTGTATATTTTATAAAAATTGAATTATAATAAATAGTTTTCAAGTAAGAGGTTCATAACGGTCTCTTTATCACATCTAGCATATACATTGAATTAAATTTTGGTATATAAATAATGCATTCTATAGGTAATTTTTAATGTTTCCTTATTGACAGTGTATTACAAATATATTCACTTTGAAGGTTTATTTGTGATAAACATTCCCTTAATTTGTGCACGTGTTAAGATCTTTTCCATTTTTTAATTCTTTTTAAACAAAACTCTTACCTTTGCAATACTTTCCTTCAGGAAAGAATAACTGTGTTTATTTTGATACTTGAATACACATGCATAGAATTTATATGACAAAAATGAAAAAAAAAACATCTTCTATCGACAAACAAGGTTTGAATCCAGTTAGTCACGAAGAAAAAAGATTTAATTGTAATCTAAGTCCGAGTCTTGTTAAAATCTTTTACACATCTGTTCCACATAAATTAAGCATGCGTTAAAGGTGTATAAAGACAAACGTTATATAGTCAGTAATTTTTGATATCCAAGAAACGGAAATAAGCTTTATTAAAGATAATATTTGAAAAAAAATAAAGGAGACAAAATAGAAATTTATGAAAGAAAAAGTTAATGAATCTTATACCTAGAAAGAAATTATCATCTTCCAAACCAAGATTAGTGACTTATTCATTAAAATTTTTAACGAGCTTTTCTACTACATGTAATGTATATATCGTGTTCTTCAACCAATTTTGATATCAGATTCAGTCCATTGCTTTGTTACACATAATTGCAACACACGTGTAATTGAAAATAATTTTCACTTTCTTCCTCATAATAAGGCGTCTCCGAAAACACAAAAACTCATGCAATTTTGAAAATTATATATTTTACTCTGTGGTGAATATTTTTATAATTTTTTTTATGTATATTTTTTTCTAATGTTTATTGTCTCTCTTAAGGGGATACAGTGTAATTATCAGAAATCTCTTAAAGAAGAAAAAAAAATTATCGCCATACAAAATTTTGTAAATTTTCAAATAGAAAATTAAAGCAATTTGACTATTTTTTTTTTAAAAATTGAGTATCAAATTTGAAAATGCTATTATTTTAATTTTGAAATTAACTCAAATGCTTGTTGAAAAGCAACTATGATGAAAGCAGTATAAGATTTACGACTGGAATGTATATGTGGATAAAACGAACGGTATTCAAGCTCAAAGTCCTTTGAACAAAGCATTTTGGAGCAGAGAAATCACAGACTTAAAAATATCAAAGGTGGGATCAGGTGTAATGGAGGACTTAGCATCCCCTACAGACCGTCACTCTACCCAGTGTTCCCTGTCACAATCCGGATATCCGTCGACAAATCGGTGTGTAAATAATTGCATAACAATTTTTATGAAAAAACTTAGTGATAAATTTGTTTTTGCCGACAAGCTTATTATATCGACCTCGGAATTTAGGAAATTATGACTTTTAACGAGACTGTTGATATTGTTCTTTCTTGTGAAGACAAATTTGGATAAAATGTAAGTAAAAAATAGCATTTTTTAGTGAGATGCTTTGGTAAGAAACAATCTACAATAATTAAAACTTATGGAAAAGAAATATTCTGCTTGATTAAATTCTAAGTAAAATAAGCAATTTTGGGGGAGAGAACGTATAAGAAGTTTTCAAAGTTTGTTCCATATTTCTAAAAATGAAAAAATGAGTAGAAATATTTTATTAAATAAGATTGAATTATATATAAATTGTTACACCATTTATAAATTACATTAAAGCAGTTTTTAATATTGATAAGAGGTTATTCTATCCTGAAAATTAATTATTTAAAAAAAGATAATTGAAAAGAGTAATCATTTAAATTAAGTGCTACAGATACTTGGAAAATTTGTTAATCGACTTTAAATTTAAACACCTTGTACGTCCTCCTCTTTGAAACAATAAAATTACA